TCTAAACACAGAATACATTCCAGTCCACCCAGATAAATCACATCAAATAATCCACCAGCTCAAGTCTAAAAGCTACATTCCTGTCAGACCTAGTCCTCCAGCAATAGCTAGCTGTTTTTCAGCTTGCTGTCTCCTTTAAGAAGAGCCTCAATTCCACCTTCAGAAAAAAGCATCAGTGAAAATTTACCTTGGATATCCAAATTTGGACCCATAATTGATAGACAGGAAGCATTTCGCAGTGGAGGCTCAAAAGATTACTTACCACCATTCTCTTCTCCAATTGATAAGGCATAATTTCTTTTTTCTTTTACTACTTTTTTAAAAATCTTATTTAACATTTTATTTTTCCCAATTACATGTAAAAATAATTTTAACATTTTTTCAAATTTTGAGTTCCAAATTCTCTCCCTCCCCCCCTTCTCATTGAGAAGGAAAGCAACTTGATATAGGTTATACATATACACAAAACACATTTCCATGTAAGCCATTCTGTGAAAGAAAACAGACAAAAAATAACCCAAAAAATAAAGAAAGTAAAGAAGAAGTATCTTTGACCTGCATTCAGGTTCTACCAGTTCTTCCTCTGGAGACGGACAGCACCTTTCATCACGAGTCCTACAGAATTGTCTTGGATCACTATATTGCTTTTGTTCATATCAGTCAATATCACAGGTGTGAGATAGTTGCTCAGGGTTCTTTTAATTTGCATTTCTCTCCTCAATAGTGATTCAGAGCATTTTTTTCATATGACTATAGATAGCTTTGAGTACTTTGTCTGAAAACTGTCTGTTCATATCCTTTGATCATTTATCAATTGAGGAATGGCTCATTTCTATAAATTTGACTCAATTTTCTATATGTTTGAGAAATGAAGTCTTTATTGGAGAAACTCACTATAAAATTTTTTTTTCCACAGTAATGATTACCAACTATGTATTTCCCTCCATTCTATCTTCCTCATGTTTACCCTATTCTCTCTCTCCTTTTACCCTGCTCATTCTCAAAAGTGTTTTGCTTCTGACTTTTATCTCCCCCACAATACCTTCCCTTCTATCAGCTTCCCCCCTTTTCTTATCCCCTTCCCTTACTACTTTCTTGTGTGGTAAGACAGATTTCTCACACTGAGAGTGTATATTCAGTATATAACTGAGTGTGTATATTATTCACTCTTTGAGCCAATTCAAATGAGAGTAAGGTTCATGTGCTCCCCTCCGCATTTCCCTCATTTCCCCCTCCACTGTAAAATCTCTTTCAATCCTCTTCTGTGTCAGATAATTGACCCCATTCTACCTCTCCCTTTCCCCTTCACCCAGTGCATTCTTTTTTCTCATTCCTTAATTTTATTTTTTAGATAATCATACAATCACATTTAACTCACATCTCTTCTTTCTGTTTATACTACTTCTAATTGCCCTAATAATGAGAAAGTTTTTAGGAGTTGTAAATATAATTTTCCATGTAGGAACATAAAGGGTTTAACCTTATCAAATCCTTTATGATTTTTCTTTCCTGTTTACCTTTTATGCTCCTTTGGCGTCTTATATTTGAAAGTCAAATTTTCTATTCATTTCTGTTCTTTTCATCAAGAATGCATGAAAGTCCTCTATTTCATTAAATATCCATTTTTTTCCCCTGAAGGATTATACTCAGTTTGGCTGGGTAAGTGATCCTTGGTTATAATCCTAGCTCTTTTGCCCTCTAGAATATCATATTTCAAGCCTTCCAATCCTTTAATGTAGAAGCTGCTATTTCTTGTGTTATCCTGACTATGGCTCCACAATATTTGAATTACTTGCTTCTGGCTGCTTACAATATTTTTTCCTTGACCTGGGAGCTCTGGAATTTGGCTATAATATTCCTGGGAGTTTTCAATTAAGGTTCTCTTTCAGGAGGTGATCAGTAGATTCTTTCCATTTCTATTTTACCCGCTGGTTCTAAAATCTCAGGGCAGTTCTCCTTGGTAAAGGCTTGAAAGGTGATGTGTCAGCTCTTTTCTGATCACGACTTTCAAGTAGTCCAATAATTCTTAAACCATCTCTCCTGAATCTATTTTCCAGGTCAGCTGTTTTTCCAATGAGATATTCCACATTTTCTTCCTTTTTTTTCTTATTCTTTTGATTTTGTTTCATGATGTCTCATAAAGTCATTAGGTTTCACTTGTCCAATTCTAACTTTAAAGGAATTTTTTTCTTCAGTGAGCTTTTGTACCTCCTTTTCATTTGGCCAGTTCTACTTTTTTAAGCAGTTCTTCTCTTCATTGAATTTATGTTTCTCTTTTCCCATTTGGTCAATTCTGCTTTTCAAAGCATTCTTTTCTTTACTGGATTTTTGTGCCTCTTTTACCATTTGGCCTATTCTGTTTTTTAAGGTGTTATTTTCTTCAGTATTTTTGTGTCTCCTTTACCAAGCGGTTGACTCTTTTTTCATGATTTTCTTGTATCACTCTCATTTCTCTTCCCAATTTTTCCTCTACCTCTCTTACTTGATTTTTAAAGCAATTTTTTGAGCTTTTTCATTGCCTGAGACCAACTCATATTTTTTTCGAAGCTTTGAACGCAGGAATTTTGAGTTTCTTGTCTTCTTCTAAGTATATGTTTTGATCTTCCTTCTCACCATAGTAACTTTCTATAGTCAGAATTTTTTCTGTTATTTGCTCATTTTCCAGTCTATTTCTTGACTTTTAACTCTATGCTAAAGTGGGGCTCTGCTTCCCAACTGGAGGGGGACACTGTCCCAAGCTTCAGCTTTTTTATGCAGCTGTTTTCAGAGGCAATTCTGGGACCTATAAATGTTTGGCTCTTCCAAGGTGGTATGATCTAGGAAGAGGTATGTTTACTACTCTCTTGTACCATGCACTGGTTTGTGAGAGACCACAAGTACTCTTTTCAACCTTGGAACTGTGACTAGGGTCCCTGCTCCACTGTGGCTGCAAGCTATGTTGCACTAGAGCTCCTTCTAACTGCGGTAAAGAGGCCCAGAACTGGACCCAGATCCAAGTATAGGCAATGCAACAAAGTTCTGCTCCTGGTGCCAGCACAGGGTTCTCTGTAAATCTTCTTCTGACTCACTGTCCAATCCGCTTTCTGTCTGTGGGCTGAGAGGTCTGGAAACTTCTACTGCTGCCACTGATTCAGTTGCCCCAAGGTTGGCTCCTGGTTTGCTGGGGCCAGGTTTTCATTGGCACTGGACTTTGCTCCTCTCTCTCGCTAGTACAACAGACCTTTCCTGCCAACCTTCTAAGTTGTCTTGGGCTAGAAAATTGTTTCACTCTGTCTTTTTGTGGGTTTTGCCACTCTAGAATTTGTTTAGAGTCATTATTTAAAGATATTTGGTGGGGTCTGGGGGAGAGCTCAGGCAAGTCCTTGCCTCCAGGCCTAATTTTCAATTTATAATTTGTAATTTCATAGTTGTAATTCTCTCTGTCACCTTGCATTACGTTAATAAGAAATGAGATTCTCCCTCTACTTGGATTCCTTGGGGAGCCCAAGGTTACTAGGAACTTGAACAGTGCTTCACACTCCCCCACAAATGAAACTCTTGCATACTAATTAACCTAAATGGCAACACATGAGCTCCACAAAGGACACAAGTCAGGCATATTGAAGCCAATCAAGCTCAGTTATTCTAGATTAATAAGAAAAGTCAGTTTATCTACCCTCTAAAGAACAAGTGAAAGTCCATTATATAGTAAAACAACTTTTTTATTTTCCTGCAAATTCTTGGCATGTCAGGGAAAACAATCAAAAATTTGTAGGTGAATTTTAGCCAATAAAAAAAAGATGATTGTGTTCCTTCAAGCAAAGAAGTAGAACTCACCATCTGTCCTCTTCCCAGACCGCCTCTAAAGAACAGTTAGATCTGGCAAGGAGCACTAGGACAAAAATGTACCTAGCAGCTCATTTTTCACTAATGATGAAAGAAATACTGGCTCTCAAGTTTTGATGACAACTAGATTTTATTCCTAAGGGATAATTTAGCCAACTGCCAATAGGGATCCTGGCGAACTAACAGGATACTAGCACATTTACTTAATGTCTGCTATGTGTGGCAGCCTCCAGAGATATAACATGAGCCTTGGTTCACAGCACAAGTTCTCACAGGGTCTACCAAACCAGGAGGTGAAGGTGAGAAAGGAGAACCAGTGAAAAGGCAGAGTCAGGGAGTGTTATTCAAGAGTGTCATTAGATAACAGAACATGGAGAAGGAGGTAAAAAATGTAAGGTGACTGAAAAAGTAAAGAGCAGCCACAGTTATTTCAGAAAACCCAAGAACCGTTTAGGAATAGGGTTAAGGGAACAAATTGAGGGCATCATCAGAGACTGATCAGAGGACAAAATGGAGGATGATGTTGAAGAGTTTTGGAATGGTGGGATGGTATGAAGAAGAGAGTGACCGTAGATTATAGATGGTGATTATAGTTGGTAAAGGAGGAGGCCAGAGTCTCTGCTGAAAGGAAAGGGGTCTGAGTGGTATAAAAGTCTTAAAGAGTGAATCAAAGGTTGAGAACAGCCACTAGAAAGAGTATGACAGAAAGTCAATGAGGGAAAAATAGAAGAATCACCATACAATGGCAAGGACTTAATAGAGCTAGATAATGAATCTGTAGCAGCAGCAGTTTTAGAGCAGAGAAGGCATATGATAATAACCAAGGATTTGGGTTTGGCAAAGCATGAGCAGAAACAGGCCAAGTGAGCAAAGGATTCAATAGTAGGAAGCAATCATAGTGGTTGCTGAACTGAATAACTATGAGATCAAGACTGAAAAAGAAAGAAAGGGAAACCAGAGCCATAGAGAGGCAAAGGCCTAGGAAAGAAATACTCTATGACCAAAAATTAAATATTGGAAAGAAAGTGGGTATGGAGTGCCTAGACATTATGGCAAGAGTTAAGGAAAAGGTTAATGAGGGGCGAGGAACAGGGGCCAATGGAATCGCAGGAAGTTGTGATCAAATAAAGGAATTTCTGAGTTCTGGATTGTGGTGGTCAAAGCCTGTAGATGGTATGGCCTGATACCCTTGTGTATGGTTGAGGTTGAATGAAGGTATAAGTCATGGGAGTTGAATGGAATGCTGAATAGGAAGGCTGAGGTATTTGAAGGGATATCATCAGGTATGTTGAAGCCCACAAATATAAATTCAGGGGGTGGGGAAGAGTAAAAGACTGACTAAGCACTCACTTCCTGGAGGAAACAGGAAAAGAAGGTGAATGACCCTGGGACAAGTGGCCCAGTAAATAACTGAAACTAGGACCAGGTGATGGAGCCAGATGGGCGAATCTTAAAGGGGCAGCTACTGAGTAAGAACCACAGAGGCTGGAAGGTATGGAAGTGGAAGGAAGGAGCAAAGTGTTTTTCTGCCCGAATTTGATGTGAGGCATGAAAGAAGGTGCAGCACAATACTGTAGAGGACAGCAAGGGCCTCCTCCCCAGCAGGCTTCCAGCTTTATCCTGCAACTGTCATCCAGGGGAATTGGGAGAAGTCATAGCTACTAAAAACTCAAAAAAAAAAACCAAAGTTCTCACCACCGAAGTCCTTGGCCTGGTCAAATCATTCAAAGTGAGAGAAACGGATATGGTTTTATTAATGGAAATGACAATAAAGATTAATTACCTATGTTTTGCATGATTGAACAAGTACAACCCATATCAAATTGCTTACTGATGGGGAGGGGTGAAGGAGGCAGAGAAAGAGAAAATTTGGAACACAAATTTTTTTTAAATGAATATTAAAAATTATCTTTACATATAATTGGGGAAAAATTAAATATTGTTTTTAAAAAGATCAATTAGGGGCAGCTAGGTGGCACAGAGGATAGAGCACCAGCCCTGACGTCAGGAGTACCTGAGTTCAAATCCGGCCTCAGACCAAATACTTGACACTTACTAGCTGTGTGACCCTGGGTAAGTCACTTAACCCCAATTGCCTAAAAAAAAAAAAGAATAAAAAAAGATTAATTACCATCTTCTTTGCCAGTATACCCTAAGGAGGTAGTTCTTTCTGATTTTCCTACAGCGCAGGTCTGATGATGTCAACCTCACCCTACCTTCCACTCAGTAAATTCTGGTAGCTCCAGGATCAAATCAGGTTGGCATTTAAAGCCCTTCACAACTTGCACCCTTGCTACCTTTTTAATCTTTTTACACTACTCCCCCTCCACATTATCTAGCAACAGGTCAACCTGCTGTTCTTTTCATACAATATTCAACTTCCTCACTCAATGTCTTTTCACTGGCTCTCCATCCTTTCCCCAATTGTCTCCCCACCACACACCTCCTCCTCCTGGCCTCCCTGGTTCCTGTAGACTCCTTCAAGACTCAACTTAAATCTTACCTTCCGTAGGCCTTTCCCTGTCCCTTCTCCCCTCATCTCCCACCCCTCCCAATGCCCTCCTTTTGATATTACTTTCCATGCGCTCTATGTATTAACATTATACTTTATGTATATGTACAGTTATTTCTATGTTATTTCCCCCCATTAGAATGTGAACTTCTTGAGGGCAGGGGCAGTGTTTTTGGCTTTCTCTGTCTCCCTAGCACTTAGCACTGTGCACAAGTGTTTGCTGATTGGCTGACTTGCGGCTGAACCTTCCTACTCAGGTAGGTCCTTCTTTTCTGAAGAGGACCACTGACATCATGAAGGTGATGTACTGACTTTCAAGTGAACTGGATTTAAGAGAGACAGAGTTGCACAAAGTCATCAGTCTCATTCTCTCTTCCAGGGGCAAGACAAAAGTCAGGACAACTGGTAATGCCTGGGATGCAGTGCATGATTACCTTGGTATCTTCGATGCCTGGCCAAGCTCTAAGTGCCCCACAGCACTCACTTCAGCATCAGAACAAATTGTTCTCATTTGCCCATTCCAGTGGGGGAAATCCTCACATATTTGGTGTAGACATCTCCCAACTCACCAACAGGTTTGGCCCTATCTGCCAAGGTGGTTTATCAGGGTTTGCTGGAGGGTGGTCTCTGTGCATGCTACAGCTTCTTAGAGCCTCCTTACAGAAACGTGAGCTTAAGATCAGGGCCTAGCTTGCTTATCTATTTGTATTCTCAGCACTTAATGTGGTGCTTTGCACATAGTAAGCACTTAATAAATGTAGCCAGTGCTCAGAACCAGGAACATTAAGGTCTCATTATTTGAATTTTTATATTTCTACTAAGCTGGAATGATCATATTTTACATAATTATGATTTCCCTGAACTAATCAAAACCTAATCGCATTTTTCTGTTCATCTTAAAATAGGGTAATTCACCAATGGCAAAATCACTTTTCTAGTTAACCCATTTTAAAGTTTGCACTTTGATTCAAATACCTGGCTACCCACTCAAGGTCCATTCTCTGAGAACAAATCCTTGCCTTTGTTACTTCCTCAGAGAAAAATGTTTTGTTCCCTCCCCAGAGCAAGGTATGTATATATGTAGATGTAGATGTAGATATATGTATGTATGTATATATGTACATATACACACATATGATTTAATGTAAAGTGAGATGTTAGCAGTAATAAAAGAAATTAAAACTGCACAGTGCTTTTGGCTTTTCAATGTGCTTTGACCCCCTGTTATCTCCTTTGATCTTTATAGCCAACCACGTGAGAAAGATAGGGTAGAAAGAGAAGCCCTGGGAGGGTTACTCATGAGGCTGTGTTAACACCCTTTTAAAATTTAGGCAATACCTTTTTTTTTTTTGATGGAGCCAATGAGAAAATTTGTTTTGTTTGACAAAGCATATTTGTTATGAAGGTTTTGTTTTTCTTTTATTTTCCTGTAAAATGAGGGGAGATAGCAAAGAGAGAAAAAATAGATTTTTTTTAAGTCAAAAGAACTTAATTTAATTAAAAAATGAAATTGGCAACAAAGAGTCAATTACAGCAAATACAAATTTCTAGAGCAATAAAGAGAAGTTGTTTCAAGAAGTTGCAGGGGTGGGGAAAGCTGAGGCCTCCAGGCTACATGTGGCCTTCTAGGTCCTTGGGTGCAGCCTTTTGACTGAGTCTAAGTTTTAATGAACAAATCCTTTTATTAAGGGGATTTGTTCCATGAGGTTTGGATTCAGTTAAAGGGCCACACTTGAAGACCTAGAGGGCCACATGTGGCCTTGAGGCCTCAGCTTTCCCCACCCCTGGTAAGGAAAGCAGGAGACTACAGCACCTAGTCTCAGACTATATCATAATGAAAAACATTTTTAAGTCAGTTATCTAAGAAAAGGATGAAAGAGTGGATATGCTGAAACTGGGGGAAGGATAGATGGATATTAAAGGAGAAAGGAAGAATAAAGAATCATGACCTTGCAGACATTACTTCTTAAGGAATCTTTTTTTTTTTTTGGCTAGGTAATGGGGTTAAGTGACTTGCCCAGGGTCACACAGCCAGTAAGTGTCGAGTGTCTGAGGCCGCATTTGAACTTGGGTCCTCCTGACTCCTTGGCTGGAGCTCCATCCACTGTGCCACCTAACTGCCCCTGTCTTGAGGAATCTTGAGGAAAGTAGAAATGCAAGTACTTATAAGCTAGGATAACAATTAGCCAGAAAGGTGTGTCCCTCTATGGAAAAGAGGACCAAGTTAAAACAAAAGAAGGGAAGAGGATGAAAACTTGGATATATTTCATTTGCTCTGAAATATGATAAACAGCATTTATGAGAATTTTACTTTACTTGGTAGTGGGAATATATGAAAACAATACTTTTTATCTTCTAAAAAACCTTGAGTTATTTGAAGATGTTGAAGAAGGCATGCAGGAGTCTTTGAAATGCTCTAGAAAGCTAGGGAGACACTAAAATTTAAGTAACTAGAGCTGTACTTCAAAAGCATCAATGTTACATTCTTTTGTAAAATGAAGAATCCTTTTATAAAGTGAATAACTCTCCCTTAATTTATCCTTTGTTTATGTTCAAATTTTCTGATATTGCATAATGCCAGGCACATAGTAGGCATCTAATGTTTATTGAATGAATGAATGATAGTCAGATTGTTTAAAGCAAGGTGTACATTTATGTTTCAGTCCTACAAATTAAGCTCATGTCGTTTAAAAATAATTTTTGACTGTCCTATTGACTGCCTTCTCAACATTCATTTTTATATAACCTATGAAAGAAAACATGATGCAGTAAAAGGACCTGGAGACATCTAACCCGAGGTCCTGGATTCAAATTCTAGCTCAGCTGTTTACTACCTGCAAAATGTGGCTGTAATGAGAGGGTTGCATGACTTCTGAGGTCCCTTCCATCTCTGTATCTAGGATACTATTATCTTCTGGATAGAGCCAGATTTCCATGAGAGCATCAAGATGGCAAAACTATGAGAGGAAGAGGGAAACAGAGAAGCAACAGGCAGCAGGTAGGGCTTGTTAGAACAGCATGAAGCACATTTCAGGTATTCAAAAACCACTCTAAGTACCATTAACCATCCTAAGAATCTCTCATTTAATCTAACCCCATCTCTGTGAATTAAATCGATAATCAAATCCAGCCTCAGACATTTATAGTTGTGACCCTGGGCAAGTCATTTAACCCTGTTTGCCTCAATTTCCTCATCTGCAAAATGAGCTGAAGAAGGAAATGGCAAACCACTCCAAGTATCTCTGCCAAGAAAACCCCAAATGGGGTCACCAAGAGTTGGACCTGATTGAAAATGACTGAACAGCAAGTATACAACACATACACACACACACACACACACACACACACACACACACACCCCTCCTAGATGTATAGTACACCAAACGGGGAAACCACAAGTCAAGCTTGCAGGAAGAAATGCTGTCAGGACACGGGGAAGCGACAGTTCCAAATGACATGTCACAGCTGTGACCAGCTGGATGACAGCAGCAGCCTGGTACGCTGCAACCTGGAACCGGCTGCTCCTTTCAGGGTAAAGGCATGAAGCCAAGGACAAGGAGGCTGAACTGCAGCCAGCCAAAAGCCTTTTGGATTGCAGCCATGGTTATAGATCAAAGGAGAGTTTTTATCAAGGGATGATATACTGGACACCCAAAGATCAAAGGACAGCTTTTTCAAGAGACAGTAGTCTTCTCAGACATCTCAAAGACCTAAGTAGCAAGCTCTATCAGCAGCAGTATCTTTGACCACAAAGGACAGTGATATGTACTAAGATGACATAGCATGATGCCTATTCTTGGGGGTTATCTTTTTTCCTTAAGTTGAAGTTCATTGGTCATTTCCCTTAAAGAAGCTTATTTTATGTTAGACTTTATATGTGGAAGGTGGGGAGAGGAGTTTTCTTTTGAGAAAGTTAATAACTGTGATGATGATAACTCACATTTACATAAGAATTTACCAAGTATTTTTCCCTCAACAATCCAATAGGGTAATGTAGTTATTAGTATCTCTATTTTAAAGGTGAGAAAATGGCAACTCATAGAGGTTAAAAAGTCCACTGACTTCTAACAGGAAGTTGTAGTGCTACAGCTCAACCTAAGTCTCCAACAATTTCTCTCTCTCCCTCTGTCTCTCTGTCTCTCTCTCTCTGGGAGGTGAGGAGGGAGTAGGAAGGGAGGGAGGGAGGTACCTATGTACCTATGATTTCATCTATATGAAATATGAAGGCAGAGACTTGCTTGGGGAACTGAGAGATTAAGTGACCTGTCCACAATCACAGAGCTATCATGTGTCAAAGACAGAATATGAACTCAGGTCTTTCTGACCTAGAGGCAAGTCCTCTAGCTACTTTACCAGGTTGACACTGAGCTTTATGACTTAAGGAAGAGAACGTTTAAAATTTATTTCTTATTAATGTTACATCCTTTTTCTTTGTTTTTCTTTTTTCTTGCTTTTCTTCTTTCCTTTCTTTTTTCTTCCTTCCTTTGTTTTTCTTCCTCCCTTTATTTCTTCTTCCTTTCCTCTATTTATTCTTTCCTTTTTTCTATCTTTTCTTTCTTCTTTCATTTTTTCCTTCCTTTCTTTCAAAGAAGCACTTTCTTTCACATTGGCAACTCAGTTAAACAATGTGAATTAAACCTGAACACATATGAAAAATTCAACTTTTCAAAATCTTCAAATCTTAGAATTTAAGTTTAGCATATAATTTTCATAGTTTATTAGAATTCTGGCACTACTACACAGGAAACAAAGAACACAACCATTAAACAATGCGAATGAATACTTAACTTGTTACAAAATAAAGTATCATTTAGTCTTCTAAAATTCTACACAAAAAAAATTGCCAGTGGAAATTTCAAATTTTATCCAACGTATTGCCTGTGAGACAGAAGGCAATTTGCTGGCATGTGTGACTGCCAAGTGGAAGAACACGTCAATCACATAATTATCAAATATTCATCTAGAAGAGTTTTTAAATATACCATAGATGAAAATGCATATGTTTGCCACAAATTCCCATATTCCAATGTGTAATACCGTAGAGAACACAAAATAAAAACCACTCTCAAAATATGTAACTCATTTAATGAAATTTTTGAGGTTAACTATATTTTCCATAAAGAGCTAGCTATATAAATTGTAGTAAACACTCTGTTCCTGGTCACTTTGGATATTTATCCAAAGAAGGAAGGATAATATGAGTCATGCCCTCCAAAACTGTCTAGCCCTTGGCAAAACTGTGAAGTAGGCACATTTTTAGTTTTTCACTTCTCTTCCAGCAATCTCTTCTTCTTTTTTTGCTGCCCCAACCCATTGCTAGCCATCTGGTGCCTTTATGATGGCCCTCATTACTATGGAGCATCATCATCTCCCTATCAGAGCTCCTCACCCACATTCTCCTGACCTTTCCCCTCTCCTTCCATCCTTTAAAACTGGAAATTTCATAGTCTCCATATGTGGGATAAACAGTACTTGGTTAGCAATGTTTTTACCTAGAATCACATTACATTGCATCATAGTTGGAAAGTATCTTAGGTATGATCCAGTGCAGCATCTCACCTAATATGTGAATCACTCTGACAACCTTCCTAACAAGTCATTCATTAGTTTCTGTTTGCATACCTCCTATGACAGGGAAATCAATCCCTAATGACGCAGCTCATTCTATAGTGAAATAGTTTTACTTTTTAAGCATGTTCTACTTTACATCATCTTCTCTGTAATTTGCATTCACTGGCTCTAGTTCTGCTCTCTGGACTTCCCCAGAATGCATGTAATCTCCCTTACACTTAAAAACCCTTCAGATGTTTGAAGACAGCTAACTTACCCCTCTGAATTCTTGGCTCTTGTGGGTCTACTCTACCTACACATAAGGTCAACCCTATTTCAAGAAATTGGGATCATCCAAATCACTCATTTTACAGTTGAGGAAACTGAGGCTCAGAGAGTTCAAGGGGATTTCCCAAGATCACACAAGTAGTGGTGACAATTCAGGACATGAACCGGGTCCTCTGACTCCCAATCTAGTCCTCTTTCCATAGCACCATGTAACCTCCTCCATGAAACTATGTTCAGCTTGTTTGTGAAGCAGGCCACACCTTTTAAGTACAGAGAGATCATGCATTGTCAAACGTACACACGCACACAAAAAAACCAAACTGCACAGTTCTCAAAGGTAGTTTTTCCTTATGACCAAACCGTTGGTCTTTCTTGCTATTCAGTCGTTTCAGTCCTAGCCAACTCCTCACGACCCCATTCGGGGTTTTCTTAGCAGAGATACTGGAGAGGTTTGCCATTTCCTTCTCTAGCTCATTTTACATATGAGGAAACTGAAGTAAACAGGATTAAGTGACTTGTCCAAGGTCCCACGCTAATAGGTATCTAAGGATAGATTTGAACTCAGGAAAATGAATCTTCTTGGCTCCAGATTGGGTACTCTATCCATGGTACCACCTGGCTGCCCTAATCAAACCGTATACTCTATGAAAATATGTCAATCAATCAATAGTATTCATCAAGTACCTACTCTATGTCAGGCACCGGGCTAAATGAGGAGGGATATAAAGTCAGGATTCTGAGAGAGTGGCATTCATAGATGGAAAATATAGTTCTTTTACCCTCCACCAGGGCAGGGATTAAAAAGAGAGATGAGAATTCTAGGGGGGTTTCCTCCCTTATCTACCTCCGAGAGGTCAGAAATCACAAAGTAATTCTCCTGGAATTCTCAGCTGGAACAGTACACAGTGAGTTTTAATTGATTAAGGTTCTCCACTTGTTCTAAACCAGCTGGCCTATTCCAAATTTATTAGTGTGAACTAGTCTACTTAGGCCTTTGCTCCTGTGTTACTGCTTCCTGTGGCTAGAAGGCTCCTGAATGAAATCAAATGCATGACCCCTGGGACTTTTCCCACCACATATACTCATGCATTTCACAGACTCCCAGCCTTTGAATTTCAATTACAACTTCTCTTTTACTGAATAAAATGAAGTCTAAATGTCTTATTTATGGGATTCCAAGGAGCTCAATAAGCTTGGGAGGGGCAGTGTGACAAAATGGAAAGAGCCCTGAATTTACAGCTGGAATCCCACATAAAACCCAAGCAATCCTGACAGAGTTACTAAACCTCTTCTATTACTTTATCTGGAAAATGAGAGCATTAGGCTAGAATCACAGGTTCCCAAAGAGGGCGATACAGCTCCATGGAGGGCGCTGGAACGATTCAGGAGGGTGGTAGTAGCCTTTGGTGCTATTTGAGGGCATTAAATAAAAATAAGGGGGCAATGAAAGCATAAGGAAAGGAAAGAAAATTTTGAAAAACCGCTCAAACATGTTTCATTTGTTGTGCCACAGTGATTACATTATTTTCCAAATAAACATACAAAATGCAACTTTTAACAGATCAGTGGTCAAGTCTGCTGACCGGTCTTAACAAGCAAGTGTTGGCAGGGGGTTGGGAAGTCGAGCATGCATCAGCAGGAATATGTGCATGTAATGACTTGTTTACAATATAATAGTATACAGTTACATGATGCAATACTGAGTTATCAAAATTTCAACACAGGAAAAAAAAACTCACAAATTTACAATAAATTATTGAATTTAAGATGCATCTTTTTTTTTAAAAAAAATTATTTTTAAATAAGGCAAATTTCAAAAAAATGTTAAAGGTTAAAGAAACTAGATTTCCAGGGGGATGCTGAGTAATTTTTTTTTTAAAAAGGGGGCAAATAAGTTTGAGAACCTCTGGGATGACTTGTTCAGTTCCTTCTAGCTCTGGATCCTATGAAACTTAAAACTTCACAACCAGAGCTATGGTAGGTGCTATTATCCCCATTTTACAGATGAGGAAACTGAGGCAGGAGGCAGAAAGAGGTTCGGTGACTTGCCCAAGATCAAATAGCTAGCAAGTGTCTGAGGGAGGAGTCACCCTCAGGTGTCCAAGCCCAGCACTCTATCCACTGTATGCCAGCTAACTGCCTTTAATTTTTCTTTAACAT